TTGGATGATGTTGCGTAGCGTATTAACCTCGGGCAAGAAATCATTATAGGTGAAAGCAGTGCCTCACCTTGCAATGCAACAAAGAACAACATCAATAAAAGAATCTATAACTCTTGGCAAAAGAGAAAAGACGAATCAGCCTGAGTGTCAACCATGGCTGCCGTATAGAGAGGAGGGGAGTGGGGAAGGAGAAGCTAGACAGTGGAGATTATATGGACACGAGAGTAAAGAGGAGCGTGAATCGACAGTGTAACTGACCTACCACTATTCGCCGCGTGAACACATCGATTGCCATTATTGGCCTCTTGTAACCGTGATTCAGTTACTGAATCGAAGGAGTCGAATCGAAGTGGACGGCCCGCTGGCCTGGGCACAGCCTCGTGGCATCGCCCGGAAGGCCACCCTGTCGGCCGCCAAGCAAGGAACCCAAGCTCTGAATCGCGAGCCTGTCGGTTGGATCGTGAAGACCGTGCGACGGCTGGATCCCCTGGCAGAGACCGCGCTCGACTGGATCCTGGAAGACGACGCTTCAGTTGTATCGAGCGCCCACCCATCGGTTCATTCCCGAGCGAAGATTTTTTTTGCGGAGGGCTGAAGCGGCCCAGTTTAAGGCCTAATCCCAGCGATTAGATACATGGGCTGTAGCGGCCCGGTTTACTATATGCCTCGGTTTTTTCTTCTGGAGCAGCAGCCCCTTAGGACAGTTGGGCCCAATTTATTGATTTTCGTTATACACAGCAGATCCAACGGCTAGAACTGAACAGATCAAGAAAACGGACGGCCGGGAAAGCAAATGACGTGAGGGGGCTGGGATTAGGCTCAGTTTTACTGTCCTAAAATAGGTGATGGATCCAGCCGAGGTTTCTAACTATCTGTATGTTATGCTGGATGGATAGATGTATCATGTATGCTTGTGTTCTATCTGCTGCACATTTGCTGTTAAAATAAATCGGAGGCATACCATCGATCATTCGAGGACCAAGCAATCACACGAGGCACGACATCGAGATTTGTTAATGAGGTTCACCGATATGGCTACATCCCCGGGGCCTGACTACGGGCGCTCCTCCCCGTGACACCGTCACAATACCACACACCGGCCACCCGAGCGTCGGCACATGCCGCCGGCTCCCCCTTGCGCGCCTGTGTTATTATGTTGGCATAGGTTACATCGTGTGTCTATCTCCGCTATATATGAGAGGCCTAGGATACAAGTGTCCTACTAGGACACGACTCCACATCCTATGTAAACACAATACAACTCATAGTCCAACTGCAACCTACCTTGTACACAATATTCGACACAATTCTAACAAACTCCACCTTGACGAATATTCTCCACCATCTTGAATTTGTCCATGCGTCAAACTTTCATGTACACTGGACTTGAACTTATCCCATGAGCACCGCTGCTACTCCAAAGACTCCATGTGACTCCACCTACAACTTGTAGTCCCTTCTTTTCTTGACCATAGTCAAAACTCGAGCAAAATTAAGTTCCTCTTTACTCTAGTATGTGCTCCCAACTTCGAGAGTATCCGTTCAACACCATCACACACCGATCACTGACCTGCATGAAAGTGAACAACTCGCATATTGGGTGTCACACATAAGAGTTACCTGAACTCAACATCACCGGTCTTCCTTGACCGACTGTCTGAAACTTGAAAAAATTTCACCATTGCTTATAGTCATCCCGAGTCAAATTCGCAGTTGTCTCACCACATGTATGACCACCAGAGCCATGGCCCGTCTCCATGTCCCGTGCATACCACACGCCTCGCCGCTATTACTGCGTCGAGCCTCCGCTGTCCCGGTCGAGTCTCAAGGGTCGTGAACCCACATCACTCAACCCCGCTGCAGAGTACCATCGGTCATCGCCGACCGATGACGAGTTTCACACTTCCATCAAACCACTGGGCTCCAGTCCGAACTGTGTGTTACTCGCTTTTTTCCGCTGAATAGGCTTCGACTATCTGTGCACTTACGCCGTAGCCCCTCAATCCAGCTCCACCTTCAACATGACTCCATGGCAGATGATCGGTCCACCCCGCGCCCCGTCGACTTCAATCTCTCATGTGCACCGTCTTGAATCAACCCCGCGCCATAGTCTTGTCGAAGCCACCCAAACCCTCAGGGCTTGCGCCACGTGTTTCCACGCCCAGAAGTCGGTCACCATCAGCATCATGCATCATGCCCCTATGTCGACGTCGCCGATCCCACCACCGTCTTCTGTACCAACCGACTTGCGTCGATTCGTCAGACTGTCCAGTACAACCCGACATGCTCAAGGCTCCCAAATCGTCTTTCACGAATTTCCATCCATCACATGATAATTCCATCTCAACTGACATGACTTCCTGCAACGCCTTCACGCATCCCCGTTGTGCCAACAAATCTTTCACTCTTGTCTGCCATAACCCAAGGTTTTCAGTTACGCGAACTTCTCCACCTCAAACCTAGTACCCGTTGGCGCCATGGTTCTTTATACGGCTGACCATGTGAAAAAAATAAACCGAGCTTCCAATGCAATGCCCAAGTACACAAGCAGAACCTCTGTGTACTACTAGCAAAATCCAACCAAAAAACCTTTGATCTTCATGTCATTGCTCCTGGCTCAACACCCGATGCTAGCTTTGCCCTTTGTGTCAAATCTGCTCCTGATGGATACACACAAATGATGGATATTTTCTTTTGCCGCTCTGCCCGCCTCCGTGTCGCATAGGAGAGGCCGCTGCCTCCAGGGACTCGGTCCCTATCTTTTTTGTCCAAAACAAATCTCCCATGAAGTATCAATCAGATCTGCACTGCAGTCTTCCACGCAGCACCTAGGCGCCACCTTCCACGCCTGGTCCACGAATAGAACACATGCACCAGCTAGCGGCATAGGCCAGCTTACACCGCCCAGGCCGGCCGCTTCCGCTTCAGAGCCACGCGCGCCCACACTGCCCGGATGTCGCCTGCATCTGCTGCGAACTCAGAATCCGATCTTCACAACTCGTCGAGATTGCCTTTGCCTGACGTATTGTACAATCGATCTCAACCGCGCAAATGATACCGATCAATACATGAAACCTTCCTCTAGATCAACACGACCGGCCTTAGATCTCAAACCTTTCTCTGATACCACTTGTTAGAATAAATCCCTAGAAACTAAGCCTGGAACTGCCTCCACCACTTGCTGACAGTTTTCCTGTCGAGGGGTCAGACTGCTGTTATGACCACTCGCAAGGTGTTCTCAGTTAACTAGGCCATGGATTTGTGCTGCCACACAACATGGTTCTTTGCTTTTGATGTTCATGTGTTGGACTGATTGATACTAGTGTTCATCTTAATTTTGGAGTCTGAATCTAATATTTGACAGTCTGAATACAGTAGCTCACACCTCAATTTTGTGCTTATAGGTGGATTCACATCGGCTGATTGTACAGGCTTTGGAAGAGAACTTGCGGTTAACTGAATCCAGTCTTGACATTCTGGGCCAGTGCTATGTTAGGAGGAGAAAGGGTGTTAGTATCAATTTACTACTTTATTTGGTTCCCTGGGTTTGGTTCTTTTGTGTTTTGCAAATCCTGGACTCGGTTGTTCTCTGAACTTTGATTGTCTATAACAAGAAAGGGTGTTAGTGTCAATTTACTATTTTATTTGTTTGATGGAAATACGGAAAACTGCATCTCCACTATAAGAGAGATGGTTTTAGTAGGAGCTGGAACCAGAAGTTAGAAATATTGCTCCTTTTATATCCTCTTTCACTGTCGACATTTTTTACAGTCTCTGACTTCGTATTTCCATCTAGAAGTTTTTTACAGTAATGTTTTGTTTCATATCAATCATAATAGTTGTAGCCTCGGAGGTGGCAATAGGTGATATTTACGCAGTCTTGCCACTAGGAGGCTTTGGCTAGTGTTTGTCCAGTTTAGCAGTACAGGCACATGTGTTTTTCATGCCAGTTTGTATGTTTGTGCTGAGGCTGTCCTCTACTGATTTTGTATGTGTGTTGACTTGCTCCTTTTTGCCGTGAAATTATCTATTGATATTTATTTAAGAGAGCTCATGGTTTTCGTGTTGATTGGTTAGAGTATAATAATGTTGTTTGGTTAGCATTGTAAGGTGATTACGATATGATCATGTCCTTTTTCCACATGTAATACTTTGGACCGTACCTTCCATAGAGTAGAAAGTTGACCAAAATTTTCACACCACTCTTCAACTCTGGTTCTTGATTGATCCATATCACCCCATTCATATATTCTTGAAATAAATGTCCTTCTGCTTTGGTGACTTTTATGCAGCGTGACTGTCCTTCACACGCTACTAAAACTTTCTTCAACAAATAATGGCCGAAAACGAAAGCACCCTAGTTAACTCCAATCACCCCAAAAGCTTATGACCATCCCTGTACAACGTCACACTTATGACTTATGACCATCATTGACCACCTCTACTATTCCTCCGGTTATCATTTGAAGATCACATGGTAGCTCATTGTTTGACTGCTTGATATATTTGCATTAGTTGTACACTCCTTTGTTTTCATGAAGCACCGTAAAAAAAACTAAACTGTGCAGTCAGTGTAGCAAAAAGATTTTATAACACTCTAAATGAAAATAATGCGAGTTCCGCTTTTTTCCTTTCTGCTTCAGATTCTTTTTTTGCCCGTGCTATTATAAATGTCTGAAATGTAGGCTTTGGACCATGAATCCCATGTTGAATAACCAACTCAATGTAACCAAATTAAAATAACAAGTCTGCTGATCTAATACAACCACTACCAGTGACAGGCTGTTAAACTATTGTCATATCCTTATCCTTAGTTGAATTTGTCCTAACCTGTAACCTTTGAATCAGTCTTTATATTGTCTGGCCTTAAGATGGATAAGCAGCCATCCCCAGTTAGCAGAGCAAAATAAGAACTGGGGTTCAAGTACATCATTAGCAGTGGCTTCCTAATCTGGCTCTATCATGTGTTCTGGAGGTTAGCTTCCCTCTAACCAAAAGTCATGGCCTCCAAGCAGATGGTCCATATGAACCAAGGACAAGGGGAAAGAAGTTATGCTCGCAACTCTGGTATTCAGGTATCCTATTCTTTGACACTTGGCTTCTCAAAACTTCCATTA